GTGATTACCATTTCGTGTAGGGAAAACGCACAGATGGACATGCACATATATAACATATGCATAACAATGAAGTATAGGAAGTTCATTGTGCTTGTTAGTAGACATCACTTCATACAGTTTCAGCTAAGGGGTATAAAAGAGCTCGTAAGGGGGGGAAGTATGCAAAATTCAAGGTTATTACGCTTTCCCAATGCATAATAATTTAGTTTGTTTTCTAAAAATTCAACTCTATCCTCCGTTGAAGTAATGATTGTCGCTCCTTTTTCATTCTTGTTATTTGAATTCTCTATAAAAAAAAAAAAGTTATGACAACTTATGAATAATTTATAACATTATCAAATAGTTAATATGCGCGTTGCGTAGTTTTTCTCTTGTAAAATAGTAACAACGATGGCTAAGCGTGACACGAGAAAGGAAGGAGAAAGATGTGATGCTTGAAAAATTGAAAAATTTTTAATTTGCTAATAAGACATGGGCCGTTCATTTCCTAGGGCGAAGAGATCCTTTGAATTGGAGGGAAGGCGTACTTAGAACTTTGGAATAAAAATATTTAGCTGACAATAACACACCATTACCTAACTCTCTCCTCATTACATCATAGTCTGAAACTGGTGAAGGAAATTTGATAATTGGAACCTATCCTAGATGAAAGCGATGAGTTCTTTAAACTTTTATCTATGATATATTATATCAGTATTCTATCCAACGCTATTTAGAAAGAAATTTAGTTCAATTCGAACGAATCCTTTTATGCCCACCGTCTGTTTGTGTCGCTAAAAGGGGAAGAGCAAGATGAATATTCCAAGGCACCAATCGATATCGATTTCCCCAAATATCGAATCATATTTTAATATAATTGAAAGCCTTTAAAAGGTTTACGGACTTTTTTTAAAAGATTCAGCAGTTTTTGTGGCCATGTATGATGGGCAAGTTTTTACATAAAACACGCCCTCTCTCAAGTTGGCATCAAATTTTAAATTTTATGCAATCTTGAAGCTTCAAGGCTTTCAGCATCAGACAACAGGACGGATTTCCTCTAAATCGCTAATATATGCAAATTCTGATAAATATTTGTAAATATGGCAAACTGAATGGAACAATTAGTGCATGCACCCATGTCTTCAATGTGGTAGGTTTAATATACCTTTGATTAAAGTGGAAAAAAAACAAAAAAACAAAAAACAACAACTGTGATATTAAGAACAACTTTTGACATAACCTAGAAAAATATTTTGCAAACTTATTACGGTCTTAATATATTAATTTCAGGATTGTTATGGCTCTGCTGTGCACCATAATGTCGCTCCAATTCAAGATGATACACAAAACTATATTGTACTGAATGGTTTTCAAAACTCAACTCATACCCAAATCGAGTTCTCTAGGGAAATTGAAACATGTGATCCTTACGATTTGCCATTAGGGGTAAGTAACAAAAGTAATTTTATTTCAATTTGTGATTTTCATAATGTGAAGAATATCTTTTCTGGAATCTGCGATAAATAATGAGTTAATAGTGCATTTTTTCGAGTTTCATAAAAGCCATAATATCATCACAATTAAGTCCTGAAAAATAATACGTACATATGTATATATATATATATATATACATACACATTTATATAAAACAATCTTTAAATATTTTCCTTTTGAAAAATTCCAAAAACTCTTTACCGTGCGCAGTCTGTATATATTCATAGTTATGACGATCCAATTCTTTATAAAATTTTTGAAGTGGCCAATGTCCAAGCATTGTTGCTACACATATTGGTGGAGTTAAAGTAAGCTGATTGAATTCCTTATAAGTGCACCAACGTAATAGTTCGTATACTAACTCCCGATTGTTAGCATAAGTGGCCAAGGTTAAGGCATTTTGTCCTGTATTTTGAATGCAAAATCTGAACACAAATTTTAAAAAGAGAATACGATTTATTCATTACCACAATAATTTGCCGCCTTGACATCAGCTCCGGAACGCAACAAAATTAATGCCGCTTCCAATCTACCCAAATAACAGGCTTTTAGTAGAGCGGTATTACCGTAAAAGTCTTTTCTTTCACGTTCTTCTTGCCTATTGCAGACTTTACGCAAAGCAAGCAAATCGTTCTGACCTACGCATGCTAGGGCTTAACAATGAAAGATTTTTTTATTTTTTTTATTAAATATATTACAAAAAATATATATGCACCAGTTAATCCGGCCATTTTTGCAAAATTTTTTTAAAATTATTATTAAAGATGAAGATATCGCACTTAATATTAACCTCAAAATTATAACGGTACTTTTCTTTGCTTTGAGTAAAAGAGTTGCTGACGTCTCCGAAATATAGAAATGTGAGGTATTTGTGATCGTAACAATGTAAACTTTTAAGCATCACGTCTACGGGATAGTTAAAAAAAATGAATAGATTTCCATGTGATTTAAAGTATGTCTGAAAAGATTTTTTTAGGAATATGCATCGGCTGGTGCATAAAATAAAATTCCGAATAGATTTAGACCTATGGCTTCGCTCATTCCTTCGACTGTTCTGTCCATCGCGTAGTCAATTAATCAGTATATTCCTAATTGACGTGAATAAACTATATTTAAGAATGAGGGGAATCAACAATCTTGTTGTAAGTATAAGTAATAACTTCCAGTCTTAGATAGACTTAGGAATTTAAAACTTCTGGCAGAGAGAACTATAGGCAAAAAGTAGAACAGAAAAGTTAATTTTCAACCTATAAAACATATTGAGATAGCGCTAAAAAGCCACTGTTATATAAAGAGACCAAGCCCCAGGCCCACAAGTATCAAAATATTTTTATACATCAAACAAAATTTATTTTTAAATCATTTTTAATCCGCTTAAGTGGCCAAGTGAGCCAAGGCTCTCGATTAACAATTTCAATGGTCGCGGGTTCAAATCTCAAGTACAAGTTAGAGTTTACAATGAAACTGTTAACGTTAGTTGCTGATACTTTCAGAGTTTGGTCTTCGAATTTCTTTCTGTGAGTAAAAAATTAATAATAATAATAATAATAAATCATTTTAAGATGAAAGTAGCTCTCCAGACGTTTGAGTATAAATTTCGGGCTGAAAGACTCTACGGTAACCATTACAATTGAGAAATAACTTCCTGAGATGGAAGCAGATTGTCCACTGAGTTTTTTTTTCCTTGATATGTTAAAAAAATTTGTATAGTTTACGTGATGGCTTGCTATGAAATGTTTGTTAACAATGTGGACTCTTAAGTATATATGATTTGGGGGCATCGAGTCGTAACAACTTGGATGTTCGGTTCAAACTTATTTATATGTACGTAAAAATTCGAAGACGGATAATGAGATGAATACATTTTACATAAAAGTAAAATTTCATCTAAATAATACTTTCAACCGGAGCAAGCATCTTTATTATCTTTCCTTTAATCCGTAGCCTTCAGATCTACAAAGAATATGAGTTCTTCTACCGAAACATCCGTTTGTAATTGCCAGCGTACATTACTTCCAGAACTCAATTTAAGAAATGCATCCAATCCCCTTTTGAATATGTATTCACCGATAAGAAATTAGAAAAGCGGTGAATAAATAAACATGTGACTGAAACAAGTAGCAAAATGCTCTACATCTTATGGTGAAAGTGCATATAAAATTTCGCCATTTCTCTCGAACTTGCTTAGTCGTTTATATTGATCAAAGTTATATAGTAAAGCAATTTTTTTTTAATTTCAATTTCAAGAGTGATACCTTAAAAGTTTTATGGTCTTTCGGTGATACCGATCCCACACATGGCAATCTAAAGGGTCATGGCAAAAATCGTGGTCACAAATCATTACATTTAATGGGGCCTATGTTTCATAAAAGTCATATCTTGTCAGCGGCCAGCAGGCATAACCAGGAAATTCACAAGTGGGATGTAACCGTTCAAAATGTAAGTATTTATCGAAGTTAGTTACCCTACATGGAATTAACGTATCCATCCATTTTCTTCTTACTAAATTCTAGGTATCTATACAATCCACCATGGATACCTTATATTGGTGTAAAATCTTACAAGCTCCCACTTTAGTGGAAAAACATCACATTATCGGCTACGAAGCCTTACTGTCACGCAATGGGTACGTTACAAAGTAAATTGACATATTTTCTATATAATTCATATGTAATACGCACTCATGTGTACGCTTGTTAAACAATAGAAGTGTACATGTCATATGTCTTCACCATTAACTTGAGCGAATCCGCTGTTTTCTCGTTAAGAAATAATTCATTAATCTGCAACGTGCACGCACAGGCAACATCTTCTCCATTGCTTCTACGTCTTGTACTATGGCAAACTTAAATCTATGTCCAAAAAATACATTTTTATACCCATCACCGAAGGATGTGTAATATATTCATTTTCTTAAATAGTTTGAAACGCCGAGAATGAAGCACCAGAGATCCTACGAACAATATACAGTCTTGGTCGACATCAAAGTGTAAAACGATTTAAGCAGGTCCGTCTGTCCGCCTGTGTAATGTCTGTTGTAACTATTCTCTTGGCCGCAAAAATGAAGCTATGAACTTCATATTTAGCAGAAACAGTCGAAGTTCTTGCGAAAATGGGGTAAATAGGTCGAAGGGCACGCTCGAACATCTCCGTTTATCAAAGGGAAGGAAAGGGAAAGGAGGTTTTTTGTTCATTACTCCTAAACTCTAGGAGATAAACAGGGAAAAATTTGATTGTGTGTTCTAAGGGCGATGGGGTGGCACCTGTACAAAATTTGCAAAAGTTGACCACGCCTACCCATTACTATAATCTATCAAAATTTATTTTTTTCCAATGCCTTTATAAAGCGTAGAAACAACTACTACAACGGCTAGTTTCAAATTTGAAATGCACCTAAATATGTCCGTCAGCTTTTTAGTATCTATGCCTACAAAATTTTCAAAAGATGTTGTTTTAAGTCACAACACTTCCAAAGATCATCCAAATGTGTCCGTCTGTCCATCTGTCTGTCTGTTCAACTGTGTAGTACTTGTGGTAGACATTTTCCCATTAGCGAAAATGAAGATATCGCCTACAAATTTGCAAAAGTATTTGCTGGTGACTTAACTTTGTCCAAGGGCATGCCTGATACGTCCATATGCCTATGCGGCAAAAACTTTTATTTTGAAAGTAGAAACGTCGAGCCACGCAAACTTCATATTCTTTTGCTCCTTTTATCTTTTTTAGGATAACAGTGACGGGTATAAAAGATTCGGTCCTAATCGAACATAATTTTCTTACTTGTTGTATTTGTTCATAAGTATAAACGCATTTATCAAACAAACTAAACAAATAGTAGGGTTGTAGGGTTTCCTAAAGCATTAAAGCACATGCCTGCGCACGTTTAACTACAAATTCGTCAACGAATTCCTTTTGTATTAATCCATAATCATCATGTGATAATAAATTCAAATATTTCTTTAAAAATAAAGAATGAAATATAGCATAAAAACAAAATAAATATATTTTTCAGGCCGAATTCTCAACCTCTCGTTCATCACATGACTCTATTCGAGTGTTCTACGAAATCATACCCAGGCTCGGATCCGGCTTCATGGAATGTCTGGGTGCGAAGTAGCGGTGCTGTTTGTAATAGCAATTTATTAACACCACGTGATTGGGACGCTTGCATTACGCCGGTTGCCGTATGGTCTATTGGTTCTACAGGTAAACAAATTTTAGAATTTTATATATATATATATATATATATGTATCTATACATTGTAACATTGTTTTTAATATGGCCAACCGCTCCGAGTACGTTACCTATTTTTACAAGACGGTAATGGTCACAAAGAGATTATTAAGAAAGCCAAAGGCATAGGTAGGCGGAGCCGCAGCCTAGTCGATGTGTTATGCCTTTACTGACTGAACGCTCACTGTAGGTATGGCGAAAAAACACTCTACCCGCTCTTCAGTACTAAACCGGCGAACACTTTAAAAAGACTTAACAAATTCCATACTCTATGCTAATCGATATGGAATCGAATGATTTTTCCAAGTTTGTAGAATATACTTAGAATTTTTCATAGGCTGTCTATTGTAGTTTACGAGTGATGATTCAACGTTTTCAATTTCCATTGCACCGTGCAGGCGTGTGTTGTGACCGACATTGAATACCAACTTGGGTGCAAGAACTTATTACATTGTCATATTTGAAGGGTGCATAACCGACTTTACGCAGACCGACATGCCTACATCTATTCAGAATGTAGTGGTGATCACGAGTGTTGCAAACGTTTTGAGAAGTTTAATACACCGTCATCCTTCGGAGATGAGTGTAATGAAAAACAGAGCGAACCTACAACAAATTTTTATTTCTTAAATTAAGGGGAACAATCGGACACTCTTGGCATGAATTATTCGAAATTGTGTAACGGCTATGTCTGGAATATCGTCCCAGTCTAAACCGGGGACTTTACTCTTTTCCACAGCTGCATTTAAGTGCCACTTGAAGAGCATCGGAGGTTGTGGAAACGGACGCACGTGTTATTGCTGAGCTAGCAAGTATATATGGAGAGAGGAGGGCGATACAATTTTTATCCCACGGACACTCGACAGACGGTTACATCTAAAAGATATACACGTGCTTTACGCTTATAGGAATAGGAATCCCTAATGCAAATCATGCATCGAAGCAGACCATAGGTAGGATGTAGAATTCACATTTAGTAGAAACATTGCATGTTTCTGCACGCAGGTTGGTATTGATAATGGACCGGAACTGCGCAGTGGAGCGCAAACTGAACACATGTCCGCTTTTTTTATAAAAGTTATAGGGCTGAACTTTTCCACATTTACTTTGCGAGACTCTCTGCCTTTTACGTGCAAAAACAGAAAAAAAATGGCCTTGCCCACACAAAGTAATAAATTTATTTTTTCTTACCCTTTTGAGGGTTTATGCTTATTTATGAGAAGGTGAACAAGGCAAAGACGTTTAAAACTATTTTGTACATTCCTCCAATGAAGGTATATTATCTGCCGATATATTATCTACAGCGACATGGTGGATTAATTTTTTGTTAATAATACTGGCGATATGGGTATCAAATAAAAGGGTTTAGAGAATAGAATGCAAATAGCTAAGTGTGTTAGTTCCAAATTAAATACCGGGAACGTCACGACCTAGTAAACTAATTTTTTCATTACAATACTGTTGATATGGGTATGACATGGGCGTAGCTAAGTATGTTAATTCTAAATTAGTTGTGGTAAGCGCACTCTACTCCCTACGTGCAAGAATGAAAACATCTGCCATGCCCACATAAAGTTACGAATGATAAAATTTTGTTTTTCTCACCTTTTTGAGGTTTTTTGCTTATCTATAATAATGCAAGACAGAATGAAGATATAGTATCGGCCTAAGAATGGGTTAATTTTAGAATAAATATGGTAGACACCGCGATGAATTTTTTCTTAATAATACTGGCGATATGGGTGTCAAATAAAAGAACTTGGAGAGTAGAACGCGAAAAATGTAATGGTGGGTATGCGACTTTCTTACTTGTTCTAATCTAACTTTGATGGCAAAATATCCAACATATTTATGTTGCCTTTGCTTATCTATCGGCCGTTAACTGAATTTAAAGATAAAAACTTTAACATTAGCAATGTACCGGCACTTCAGTAAACGAAACGTTTCACAATATGAACGTTATACTCAAGTCGCTGCTTTCACTACTACGAAAATACAGACATACACAACCCTTTTTATTTATTCATTATCTTAACTGCTGGCGATTAACGAATAACTTAGCTTAATGCCATTTTATTGACACACATAATTGCTGTATATGCAATAGAAACTGAAGACCTTGCAAACGTTAGATAAGAGAAAATGAGAAGCTTACGGAAACATTTTAATCAATAATTTTTTATTATTAAAATAATTAATCTAATTAATTATGTATACTTATGTATATGCAAAATATAATATATGTAATAAATAATTAATTATAATATATGTGGTTGTTTGGTCCATTTTTACTAAAAAAGAAAAAAAAGATCCATTTTCCATTTTCCATGTAATCCTTCTACCGCTACATTCATCAAAGCAATTCTAAATATTCCCTTTGCTTGCCATAAACGACTATAACGAATATAAATATCTACATGAAAATATTTGATCAAATGTCTTTCCAGGGCAATTTCTACCACAACATGTTGGTATTCCAGTGGGCGGAAAAGCTGGCGCCAAATATTATATGTTGGAAATTCATTATGACAACCCTCACGGTCAACAGGGTAAATAATACGCTCTTCTTTTCTTGGCGGCAAATAAATAACTTATTCGATTTTGTGTGTGTATGTATGTATATAGCTTTCGATCATTCTGGCTTCCGGATACACTATAGTAAGCATTTACGTAAAAATGACGCAGGAATAATGATATCAGGTGTATCCATTTCGGATACACAACTAATACCGCCGGGTCAGAAATTATATCGTAATGTTGGCATATGTGGACCATCATGCTCGAATGTGGTAATGCCAACTATGCGTTATAAATCGTGATGAAAATTGCAAACAAATTTTGTTTTTTTTTTTTTTGTAGATGTTTCCCGAGACAGGTATAAAAATTATTTCAGGTATTTTACACTCACATCGTGCGGGCCGTAAAATGACACTGAGGCATGTCAGGGACGGTAAGGAATTGCCACGCATTATAGAGGATGACAATTACGATTATAATTATCAGCAAGTAAGGCAATTGGAAAACGAGACTGTTGTTATGCCTGGTGATTATATAATAACGGATTGCGCTTACGAGGTAAATTTCAGTTTGCATCTCGTTTTAATCTTCAAATATTGTTACATCTTAATTTTTCAAAATGATGGCGCGAGCGACTAACCGCCCTTATGCACTTTATCGATTTATACTTCATGGTGACATAACCTCATATTTAATTAATTACCAATTCATAGAGAAATCTGTTGTGCTGCTAATGCTGCGCAATTATTTAAAACACTTCTTTTTGATACGAGTGTTAGGTAAACTATATACATATATATATAATACAGAAGCATTGATTGAAAGTCCTGCAAATGATTCTAAAGGCATTTGTATTTGTTAATAATTGCTGTGAACGTCATTACGATGCAATTTGCTTAACAGGAATTCGAGCTCACGATATTGTTAATTAAATTTATGTGTGTGTCCCATAAGTTTTTTTCTTCTATTTTTACTGCGAAATCATTGGAGCATATTCGATCCCCATTTAAATGATTATGTACCGTTCGCCTCGGAACGTTAATGGCATCCACTATCTCGCGCACACGCTATCACGAATTTTCAGCGGGCATAGTGTTGATGACGTCCTCGCATTCGTCGTTGTTGGGCGGCCGCTGCGGTCTACTGTACCACTACCCTCAACCGTGAAAATCTCCTCTGCAGAGTCCTTCGCGTACAACTACACTTTTTTAATGCAATGAAGCATAACATGCCGCAAATGCTTCTTCTGGCCGTCCATATTGAGCGGCGTAGAAAATTTTAAAAGCGTGTTTGCCACCAACGGAACGTACTTTGAAAGAGCTGTGAGACAACTAAAACCGATGCCATCAACGAACAATAGTTTGACCAGCACGCTTGCAAACATAGCCGTCTTGAGGTCATACATAGCGAGGCGGGGAAAAGAGTAATGGACGCCCGTATTGAACAAAAGGCATAGAGGAGATATTTTTTGTTTCGACTTTCCAACGTGCTTAATTGGATAACGAAGCAAATTAGTGGGCAGAGGCAAGGAATAGTGAAAACAAACATTTCTTTTGCAAAAAAACTCGTGAAGAAGATTTCGCTTAATAAAGCGCCATCTAAGATCTTGCCATCTATACAATAACATGGGAAAGAATTCTTCTGTACATTGATAAAGGCCCAACTTTCCACGAGATAACTTCTTCGCCTTCATTAATATTTTGAAAACTAATAAGGCTATGAGTGTTACTTCTTACCACTTGTCAGATTTTTTATTCTAGAAGAAATCCCACTTTCTTTTACGTGGCAGTTAGGAGCGGTAGATAATGATTTGTCATACTTTAATTTATTTTCCTTTCAGACTTCTAATCGTAAGCGCCCAACATTTGGAGGTTATTCCACCAAACAGGAAATGTGTTTATCATTTCTCACATATTACCCACGTATTGATTTGGCTGGTTGCTATAGCATGACTCCGGTTCGTGAATTCTTCGAAACTTTTGGTGTTTATCAATTTTATTCACTGAATATGACTGATGTGGAAAACCTTTTTCTTTATAACGGCGACATTTTGGATTATATACCTAACACGATTTATGCTAAAACGAAAAAAAATCGCAGTAATCTTACCGAAGAGGACGTGCTATATGAAGATTCTTTATTAAGTTAGTTAAATGTTAATCTTATTCGTAAAAAAAATATACTTAATTTACTTATTTTTTAGATAAATTAATTATATCGGATCCTGTGGAATTTCATGATCGCACTTTTTTGTCACATTTAAATCTGTTGCCTTGGACTGAACCTTTATTTACAAAACGTGTGGAATATAGCATGATTAACGGGAAACATATGACATTTTGCCGCGTGGCTAATGATGGCGTGTCCATAGTAAGTTCGAATAGGGAAAGTTAAACAAGTAACACATCAAATCTTTTATAATTTCAGCCATCTGAGATTATACGTTATCCCAATTTCACCGCCTTTGTAAAGCCACCTAGTCCATGCCCATACCATATGCTTATGGACAGCCCTCCTTTAATCTCCACCGCCTCAAGGATAGGTTCTCTCACTTTACTAATGTTATTTACACTATTTTAAGTAAGCAACTAAAACCTTCGATCAAATTATGTAAATACGAAACTTTTAAAAGTATTAATTTATTGAGAAAACATTTTTAAAATTAAATTTTTTTTTTTTTTTTATTCCACTTTTAATGTCTTAATTATTTTAGAAGCAATTTCACGAATTTTTGTGTACATATTCCAAATTTAGTTATAAATGTTAACTCTCTTTCCAAAAAGTCACAATTACATTGAACTCATAGCACTTATGATCAAATATTATTTATGTAAACTTAGTTTTAATTTCATAGAAGAAAAATACACTTTTCGATCCAAAGATTTAGTTGATAAGCTTAGTAATTTAAAAATAACGTTAAAAAGATTATAAATAAATTATCAAAAAAGTTGCGAGTTAAGCAATAAGAAATCTGTCTTTCATTAAGAGCTGCGCCTAAGATCTGAACTGAGGTGATAATAGAACAACATCTATTGCAAATGGAGCTTACCAACAACATTTAACATAATTTACATCTAACTAATATGAGTTAAAAGATTCTCTGGGAATGACTATCAATACATTTTTAACATTACAGTCAGTTATAGTACCACGAATTCAAAAATAAACAAAATTATACAACACATCTAGGTATAGTGGGCATCACAATGGACCTAGGATAACATATTATTACATTATAACAGCATGCAAAGGATTGCATACGGGTTGCTATAAAAAAGTGCATTTCTATGTTGTTTAATATAACGTCCGCCTGGCACAGTAAATACCAGAACTTTATACGCTTCCTTGCATTTGCAACTGGATCATTTCCTCCTCGACTCTACATATTATGTCTACCACCTAACTCATTAATTACAAATTGGCGGAAATAAAAATATAAACATAAAAAGTAATGACTGATTCAAGCACCACCTAAATCGCTACTGTTGGCCCAAACCGAAGATTACATAGAATATTCGCGTAGCGGCAAAGTCATTAAAGGAATGGAAAAACCAAAAGCTCGTAGTATATATGAGGAGGATATTTATCTTAGTAATATATAAACTGGGATTATCTGGGAAAAATGAAAATCTCATATTAATTCTTTCCACATATTCATACAAGTGCTTGAAATATAATATATATAATCTTGTATATATAAATGTATAAAAAATATGCATTCATCTCCCCTTGTACGTCTCCTGAATAGTTTTATACAATTTTTATAGGCGTGGCATTCGATTTTCCCCCATTTTGAAAAATTTGATATTAATTCTTTCCATATATTCATACAAGTGCTTGAAATATAATATATAATCTTGTATATATAAATGTATAAAAAATATGCATTCATCTCCCCTTGTACGTCTCCTGAATAGTTTTATACAATTTTTCAACTATAATGCCAGTTTCTTGCTTATGCCAAACATTTGCTTTCCTTTGATATATGGCTAAAACGTAGGCAAATATGTCTGCTCAACAAAATCATCATATATAGAGAACTTTGGTCAATTTTTGGTCAATGGCACAAAAACGAAAAGAAAAACTACTCAATCAGAAGTTGTCTTTAGGGAAGAAAAAGATCCTTTGGATAAACATTCCCCCGTTCAGTGAATTCTTCGTTGCATATATAGTTTAACACTTTCCCAATTATTGTTAAATAGTCTCCGGCTTGTAAAAGACCTTCATTATCTAACATATTCAAATTTTCCTTTCACCAAACTCTTGTATTAACACTATCTGCTAACTTTCTTATCAAATCATTGCCAGCCCGATATTAGCAGTAAATATACGTACACTCATTCACATGTTTCTCTAGGACTTGACTGAAAAAATGCCTGAAATATTGGTTGCTTAAAAAAGTATTAAATTAGGTTTTATTAAATGTTTGTTGAATCGTTTAGTTATAATTAAATAATTTAGTCCATTATATTCATTGTATACGAAATATTATAAAAAGACATAGAAGAAAGTTTAACTTATTTAATTATTTAATAAAGCTTAGATATAATTCTTTAGTTCTTTAGCAAAAGTATTAAATTCTTTACTACTTTCCTTAAACACCATGACGTGGATAGTTAAATGTGCGTTTGTGTGCTGAAAATAATCAGCCGTCATTAAGAAAAAAGTGACATTTTTAACAAAATAACAATTTTGCCGAAAAGCGAATTATATCTAATAAAATAAACCATGAAATTGCCATAAATTATATTTTGGTTGTGTCAAGAAACAAGTTAAATCAATAATAATAATCTGCGAAATAATAGAAGCTACTTTGGAATTTGGAATCTTACCTGCGAGTCTCTGAGCCTTTACAGAAGAGGGGAGCGACATTTTGTGTATAGGTGGCATTAAAAGTATTTAAAGGCCATTGCAAATAAGGCTGACCCTTAAAGAAGAAGCGACCAACCATGAAATAGTTATCAGTCAAATTTGTTTTGTAGAATTCCAATATTAGACGAAGAAGAGTGACGCGTGCTCATATTCCTGCAACCTTCCTTTTTTTTTGTTTCGTTCTTTTTTTTTTTTTTTTGTATTTAAGAATAAAAAGTTAAAATAATTTGCTATAAAATTCATAAATAGAAAAATATGATGAATGAAGAAATCGCGTCGTCATCATCAACAAGTAGTAGTGGAGTCAAAAAAATTTTCCTACGTCTATCACAAGTAAGCATTTCATGTGCAATTCTAATGTATTTGAATATTAACCTACACTTTATTTACAGATTTATCAAAGCACATTAGATCGCTCTACACCGCATACTAAACTACGTTGGATTGGTGCTGGCATTTTGCTGCTACTTTTTCTATTACGCATATTTGTTTACCATGGCTGGTATATAGTATGCTATGCGGTGGGCATTTATCATTTGAATCTATTCATTGCATTTTTAACACCAAAAATTGATCCCGAATTCGACCCATACGCAAATGACGGTAAATATGTTAAAAATATGCTCTAATTAACTTAAGGGCTGCTTGTATGCGGTCGATTTTAGGGTTGCAAAAGAAATTGAGCGGTGGAGGGGGAGGGCGGAAACAAAGACGGACTGAAGACTCAATGCAGAAAAAATAAAACTTAGTTTCGATGAGAAACTATTTGTTATTGATTTTATATTTTATTTATATGAGCTTTTCTGACTTCCAAAATACATTGAAACAAAAATTAAAGAAAAGCTTTTTTGCTGCTATAGACTAGTATTAAAATCACTTTTTGTACGTTACAAATTTGTTCAGTTTATAAATATGATTGCGATAGGCAAATATTATGGAGCTTCATAAGGGCGATCTTTATAATTGAATTGTATTGCTTGCTTCTTTTATTAGACGATGGTCCAAACTTGCCGATGCGTAGCAATGAAGAATTTCGACCATTTATACGCCGCTTGCCGGAATTCAAATTTTGGCTCTCAATTGTGAAAAGTACGCTGATAGGACTAGTTTGCACATTTTTTGATTGCTTTAATGTGCCTGTTTTTTGGCCCATACTGGTTATGTATTTTATAACATTATTCTGCATAACTATGAAGAGACAAATAAAGGTATGAAGACACCATTGCTGCCATGACATTACATATAAAGTAATATACATTTTCTACTTAAAGCATATGATCAAATATAAGTATCTACCGTTTACTCGTAATAAGCCACGTTATCAGCGTGTAAATGATCCCCAAACAACGGCAAATTCAAAGTGACAATTAGCCGCACAGACATTGCCAACAACCGCAACAACAACACTAGCAAACGACAAAATTGAAGTCTCAACCTCAGCAATAACAACAGCAAAGACTTCGGAATTGACTACAGCACCAACAGCAACAACGACAGCAGTAGGATTACTATCGGCGGGCTCAGTTATAGCTACTCATGTAGCCAAACCTTCGCAAATTGTAATAATCGATGATGAATAGATAGTGAAAAAAACAGAGTATCAACCTCTAAGCTTGTGTATGGGAAAGATAAAATAATCGGAATGAATTTAAATATACTGTTTTTTTTGTTTCAGTGCTATAAAAAGTTTTCAGCCATTTCCAAACAAACGCCTGTTAGTTGCTTTATTGAAACCTACATTTTTTCAGGCGGCCTCATTACTTTTGTTTTGCGTGTAGTCTTTTTTTTCTTTAGTTATAACAAGAGCGTAACAAAGAAGACGAACATGATTTTGTCGCGGCAATGTTTGTGCACCAAATATATTTGTATAAAAATTTGATTTTCTCTCTGTAGATAAATGAAGAGAATCTGCTTATATAGGAATAACAATTTATGTCATAATCTGTCCTTTTCGTTTAATTTTAATTTAAATGAGTTCGTAATCCTTACAATCCATTTGAAAAACTATTAATTACGCATTATTTGTTTTAATATTTAAGTAAGTGTGCTTTACAAAAAAGTAATTTTTGTAAAAAATTTTTTCCTTTAAAAAGCTTTCTTTTTTCTTCTGTATTTTCAAAAACAAAAACAAAAAAAAAAGAATAAAAGGTAAACGAGTTAAAAAATATATATATATATTTATTAATTTTATTTCCAAAAAAAAAAACCACAAATTTTTTTTTTTTAATTTTGTTTAAAAAAAAAAGCATTATTTTTAATTTTTGTTTCCACTCACTAGATACATTCGCTTTTAGTTATTTAATTTAATTTACTTTTTAATTGTTTTTTTTAAGTTTTCTTTTAAGCTTATATATAGATATATATATATATATATACATAATTTTTTATAACCAACTCTCAGGAATAGTTGTTAACTTGGTTTGCGCTCTTTATATAAAGTAAATGTGCAGAGATGTATTTCTGCATTTTCCCTTGCACCTTGTACCTGTTGGGCAAAGAGTTAATTAGCTGATCGATGATCTTCATTTATCGTCCACGATTTAGATTTTGGAGCGGAAATAATTCCTATATAATAGATTTAAAATTGACATAAAAAATTGGAAGCCGATAAAGAAAATGTGGCGTTCAACACAACAAAGTTTTTTTTGCGAGTGTTTCGCAGTCTTACCTAAGTTTCCAATGCGGTAGTGATCACGAACAAGATTGCCCCGTCTCTCATTAACAAGGTTTAAGGTTCATTGCCATTTTAGTTGTAAACGTCGAAGTTATAAAACCTGAGTAAACAGAATTTCAACAATTATGTATACACTCTTGATCAAATGTGAAGGATGATGATGAAACCGGCAGTAAACAATAGCGAAAAAAAATGTCCACAATACCGCGAAAAGCATTACACGAGTTCAGTCAAAAATATTCAAAATTCAAGGTATCCATGTAGACTACTGAAATTGAAGACCTTTAGGAAATTTCGATCAAAATCCGGTAACAATGTTTATTTGATCCATAAAATGGCGCGATATGAAGATCAATTTGGGCATTGCAGCTTTAGTTAATTAAGACGATCTTTTCAGTCATCCAGGTGATGCAATCAAAAGTGGTATGTCGTTGTTCATTTGTTTTAGTTTTGGTTTACTTTCCATATTTTTAATTCAAATTTAATTATCTTTTGCGCTCTTTTTTTCCCCTTCTTCTTACCTTTCCTATCCGTTCGTTTCTCTATCTAACCTCACTTCTATAAGGTTGCGCTGTTTGGAAACATGTTAAAAAAATGAAGGAGTTGTTCATTAATAAATCAGTCATTTCTACTAAATAAATCCCCCTTTCGTTATGATTTGTAGGGAAATTGGATAAAAATTCAGAACATATCCTGTTTATCAATAATTGCAGAGTGTTTTGTAATTTTAAAGGCGTGATCTGTTACATCTAGGACTATACCTTGGTTTGGTAAACTATTACCAGTAGTGCATAGAAACGTTCGAGATACCCCTTTCTCTCTCGAACTTGATCGGCTATCAACTAGGAACAAAAAGTATTGGATTCCCATTTATAATTCGTAAGCATTCTATATCGCTCAATCACGGAATGGTGTTTTAATTATAAAAATTCTTAAACTAATGAATATATTAATGAATACGCAATCTTGTTCTTAGTGTGTGTTACAAGTGTTATAGCAAACCCCTTATAAAATATTTTTCTTATTAATAAATTTTTGGCTTCAGCTTTATAAGGAAACGAAATACTAAAAAGCACAAGAAAATTATAACCGATCGTAACCGAATCTATTATACCCATCATTGTTTGTTCTAAGGAAAGCAAAAAGATAAAAAAAGTCAATTTTCATGCTCTATAATATGAAGTGGACGCGGCTGATTTTTTTCTATTTTCAAAATAAAAAAAAAAAGTTTTTGTCACATAGGCGTGTGGTCGTTGCAGTCATGTCCTTGAAAAAATTTAAATCGCTTTCAAATACTTTTGCAAATTTGCATAAACACTAAAAAGTTGCGCAGATGGACAGCCGGACATGTTTAGGTGCACTCCAAATTTGAAACTGGCGAAGAATTTGTATATTTTACGGACTTTTTGAAGCTTGTTTCTGCGCCTTATAGACGCATTGATAAAAAAAATTCAATTTTGATACACTATAATATTGGGTGGGCGTGGTCAATTTTTTTCCATTTTTGTACACAGATGCTACAGCATCGTCCATAGAATATGCGTTCAACTTTTCTATAGTTCATGAGTAGTGAGCAAAAAAACCATTTTTAAATCCTTTTGAAAAACAGAGGTGTTCTCAGTTTACGTGATGCTGTGGGCGTGTCCTTCGTCCGATTTTTTCTTGAATCGATTTAAAATTGGATGCTGGTCAAGAATATATACAATTTGTGGTGTCTCTAATGCTTCCTTCTGAACGTTGCAGACGTTTTAACAAAATGAATATACCACCCATTCTGCGGTCACGGGTATTAAAATAACACTAGTCACTGTCTTGATTAATCTTTGAAATAAATGCGAGTTAATTGATTATAAACTAAACCATAAATAGTAGTCATAAACGAGAGACACTAAGGTTTTTGAAAAATCAGTTCTCATTCGAAAGTATTTCAAAGCCCCTTGCACAAGTGTTCCAAAACATTTCCAAAAAACATTGTCACCCGTTTATCAAACCGTTCCAGGGGTGGGACTGCTTTTGTGCGTCAGGTAGAAACCGCAAAAAAAAAAAACTTCATAAATAGCTATGAAAAATGGTTTTTCATAGCGTATTAAAGAAGCACCCCGTTATGCCTTGGGGAGGAGAAGGAATGTATAAAAAAAAGTTTCTTAGAAAATATGTCTTCGCTTTACGAAATAGTGAGGTCGAATGTATCTTCCATCAAACAAAATTAATGATTAAATTACACAAGGAAACGTTTTCGAAAAGATCATTTCAATATGCTTCCTCTCTCTTTCCCTCTCTCTCTCTTTTCTTCTCTATCTGTATACATATTCATTCACCTCATAAAAAAAGTTCTAGAAAACAAATCGCTTAAAAAGGAAATAAATCGCATAAAATAGAGCGCTCAAGTGAGCGCACATAGAATAATACCGCACAAGAACAGGGTCAACCGCACTTTTATAAAGTGTAATAAATATGAATTTTGCCGAATTCTAGATCCCTATCTGCTACAGACTACAATCGTTAAATACAAAGCTTCAATAAGTTTATCATTCCGCTTAAAGTCAAGTTAAAGATCATGATTAATAAGCGTAACAAAAGGAAGTAAGAAAATTAAATCAAGAGATGAAATGTTGCTCGGTACATGCCATCTCAAATTCATCGACTGTAATTTCAAAAAAAGTGATTTAATAAACGTAAATGTTGGCCGACTTGATCTATTTTTATACTAATTTTTATCCCCTATAGAGTTTTAATTTCAGTGTATCGTGTGTTATAAGTGGATTGGTGCAAAGGAATCAAGGTAATATAATCCGCATTTTTGAATGTTTTGCGTCAATCTATATACCGAGCTCCAGGTATCTCCTATAACTTGGACAATTATCGTCGACGAAGCTGTGTATATGGCTGTGTAATGAGTTTTGCAACAATTGATAACAAACGCGCAGGCGGAGGTGCTTAAATCTACTCAGAATCTTACCCTGGGTTCTCGAAATCGTATTTCTGGATGTTGAAAAAATAAATCAATTCATACATGTGTTGATGTTAGAGAGTGAAAAGACCCACTTCCTTTTCGGAATCCGACATTTTTCATATTATCAAAAAATATTCATCATCGGCTTTCGCATTCCTACAATTTTTCAATATTTTTATACCTATCAACGAAAAATGAGAGGTATATTCATTTTGTCAAAACGTTTGCAACGCCCAGAAAGAAACATCAGAGATCCCACAAAGTATGTATACTCGTGATCAGCATCGAATTCTAAATCGATTTAGTCATGTCCGTCCGTCTGTCTGTCCGTGTAATGTTTGTTGTAAACATTGTCCTGGCCGCAAAAATGAAGCTACAAATTTGCCAGAAACATTGGAAGTTCTTGCACGCAAATTGGTATTGAAAACGGTCGAAGGACACACCCACAGCCCAAGCGAACTAGTTATTAGAAATTGGTTTTTTGCTCATTGCTCATAAACTATAGCAGATAAATGTACAACAGTTTGAACATATATTGTATGGGTGATGTTGTATTAGCTATATAAAAATGGAAATAATTGGCCACGCCTATCCAATGTATATAGTGTATAAAAAGGTCATTTTGTTTCAAGTTTCAGTGCAGAAAAATTTCCGTAAAGTATATAAATTCTTGGCCTACACATGTCCGTCTGGCTGTCTGTGCAACTATGCAGTATGTGCGGTAAACATTTTCCCGTTGAAATCGCTTACAAATTTGCAAAAAAAAAAAAATTGAAAGTGACCTAAACTTTCCCAAAGATACGCCTATGACACAAAAACTTTAATTTTGAAAATAGGAGACATCAGTCGCGCCCACTTTGAGATCTTTTACTTTCTTTGCGTTATCTAGGACAACAGTGATGGGTATAAGAGATTCGGTTACGACCAAATACCATTTTCTTATTAATACAATTTCAATTTTTAAGCGCCAAACAAACAAACATAGTTGAATCGACCAGAGTCTATCTAATCTACTCTAATCTATTAATTTTCAAATAATTTGCCTCTCTAATAACACGCATTAGTTATAAAAAGTGTGACTAGCTGTGAATAGCTTTCAGTTAATCGACAGTTGGTTTCTCTTTGAGCGAGTACATGTTTAGATTATTAAAGCGCATTAAAAAAAAACTCACCATTCCTTTAATAACATTTGGAATTAAATACTTCCTTATCGCCCTTATTGAGCTCATTTTCCAGTTTATCTTCAATTTCTCTTATATTAAACGATATTAACTGTATAAATCAATTGTATTAGTATTAGACAAACCGAAGGGCGAGATAGAGATGAGAACAATCGGCAGTAAACAGTAACAGGCATAGTTCCTCTCTCTATAATAAAAGTGAACTATTATAGCATAACGTTATGACAATAAGTGAAAACAATGAGCTCTGATTATGCAGAAGCATAGAAAACATAGTTAAATAAAGATGAAAGGAGTTCAAAAGTCTGCTTTGTGCATGTGTTTATGATATTTACTCAACCATTTGTTGCACCAGAAAATCAAGTAATGAACGTGCAAGTCAAAGTTTAGTGCAAAAACAGATTCAAACAGTGAAGACAGTGAAGAAATTGGAAAATTTGTTAATCTTAGGATTAGTATAAAACAAGAATTAAAACAGAGGCAAAAATTTTAGATTCGATGATAAAATCATGGAGAACGCAGTTAATAGTAGAATTAAAAAAGATTGCTTAGGAAATGAAATAGATAGGGGTAAGCAAGCTGAAATGAAATTAAAAAGAAAAATTATATATATTTATCGGTTTCTTTTTTTTTTTTTTTTTTTTCTTCAGGATATAATAATGCACTTAATAATGATCAAACAATGGACGTTGTGCGTCATAAATTGGAGCTATTTCAAGCAATTATTTTAAAAGATGTACAAAAACATGTTAAGAATTGCTTAGACGAGGTCATGCAAGAACTTCGACAACAACATGTGCAAAGTCAGGAGTTTGCCAATTTTGCCCAAGCAGAACATCAACAGAAAACCGGTATTTGGACAAATCGCCAGATGGGAACAATAGCAGCAGCAACCACTAACACTAGTAAAGAAAATCCAGTAGTTGATCATAACAACAAAGACAAACAACATATACAAGAGACAATAAACAATGTCGGCAAAACAATACGTCATTTACCTGATAAGATATTTACGACACGTGAATCATATTTAACTGCTTTGCTGAAGGTTGACCATATGAAAACGATTTATCATATATTTTACGCAATATTTACAGTTTTTCTCTTGAATACCATAGTGCAGGATTATTTGGCGAAGGGCAGGTTAGTAAACAAAATAAGAAAATTATATTCGGCAGATGCCGACTTTTGCATACCCACCACCAACTAAACGCTTGGTTCACTTAGCAAGAAATTGGGTTTCTTTCGAAACGTTCACCATAATTAAATTATAACTAATACACTTTATCGCATTCTCCTCTCCAACTCCTCTCATTTGATATCTATAACGAAGAAAACATTTATTCACTAAGTCGTGGCGCCTATTACAACTAATTTAGAATGAACATAATTAGCTTCTCGCATGTGATGCCCATATCAACGGTATTGTAATGAAAAAACTAGTTCACTACGTCCTGACGTCCGAGATATTTTATTTGGAACTAACACACTTATTTGTTCGCATTCTACTCTCCAACTCCTTTTATTTGACACCCCTATCGCTAGTATTATTAAGAAAAAAATTAATCCACCTGGTCGTAGTGGACTTAACCCAGTTTTAGGCAGATAATATGTCTTGTTCGCCTTATGATAAATCGGGATAAAGCCTAGAAAAGGTGAAAAAAATAAAATTTCATCACTTGTTACTTTATGTGGGCGTGGCGGATGTTTTCCATTTGTGGACGTAACGAGTAGAGTGGCTCGTAAAGTGGATCTGAAAAATATTAGTCTTCTAACTTTTATAATTTTCGTGTAATGAGCAAAAAACCATAAATTTTTATTTAGAAAAGCGCTTCACGCTTCACTGCGGACTTATGCTCTCATCAAATTGACCAATTTGTAATACCAACCTGCGTGCAAAGTCTTCCAATATTTCTGCCGAATTTAAAGTTGATCGCCTTATTTTAACGAGAGGAGAGTGTCAACAACACACACCATACTTACGGATAGACTTGTCTTAATCAATTCAGAATTTCATGCTGGTCATATATAGATATTTTTCAGAGTCTCTGAAACTTCCTTTTTAGTGTTACATATATTATGAAAAAAAAAAAAACAAAGCACACAAAAAAAAATGATTATACCCCCAAGCTTCAATGCCTTCTCTATCAAGCCAAAATGTTAAGAGTCATTAACCGCTATCCGATGACTTGAAAATTTAAACAATGAAACATTCGTAATTGATAACGGACGCGAAAGTACATTTTTGGTAAACACTTCAGTGGTGGGTATAAAAACCACTTTCTGAGAGTTAGAGTAAGAAAGCAGTTTTTACTTCATCTTTATGCATTTTTTAGTTTCAAAATCGGTTCGGATACTTTTCGTACATCGTTCGCCAAGATTCAATATGTGCTATTGGTGTGGCTGCTGCAGCATGTATTTGTTTTTGGAATTTACTATGCTTGCCGTTTGTGGGCTTCGTGGAGGGAGATATTACAACCGCAAAGTAAATATCTCTATAGAGAGCCTGTAGATAATTGATTTATTCGTTTATATTATATCCTTTTTCAGGCTTTACCGGTAAGCTGTGGTCTTGCGCCTGTCTAACCCTGTACGCGCTAAGTCAATTTTCATTTTTAATTATCGCTTGTTTTCTAAATTTTAAACTGGATTTACCTTTTGCATCGGGAATTGTCTTGCAATTGGAAACGATACGTCTGCTAATGAAAATGCACGCGTTTGTGCGCACTAATATTCCGCGCGTACTCCACGGCAAAGTCAAGACGGACGATCAGTTAACACAACATGCCATAGCCATAGCTTTCCCATCCTTTAGTTGGTACTTGTATTTTCTGTTTGCTCCCACTCTAGTCTATCGCGATTTTTATCCTCGTTCGTCGCGCATTCGATGGAAATTTGCTTTGTCCCGTTTCATGGAAGTTGTCGCAATAGCTTTCCTATACAGTTACATTTGTGAATGCTACATTGTACCCAACTTTAGTGATTTCGGTAAACATTCTTTCAACATTTCATTTATAACGGTTAAGTTATTTGCTTCACTTATGCCTTTCACGATGATCCTCTTAACCGGCTTCTATATGATCTTACATGCTTGGCATAATTTCACTGCTGAATTGTTACGCTTTGGCGATCGAATGTTTTACAAGGATTGGTGGACTGCTTCCAATTACGATACCTATTATCGCAAATGGAACGTAATAGTCCATGATTGGCTATACGAATATATCTATAAAGACTTTTACATCTATGTATTTAAGGGTTCGAAATTTTTATCATCACTCGTCGTTTTTTGGATATCAGCTCTATTTCATGATATACCGTTATGTTTCAGTTTGCATTTATTCTTTCCCGCCATATGCATATTCTTGGGCCTACTTGGAGTACTTTTAGTATTCATTACTCGTTTAGCACCGAAGAATTTCGGTAATTTTGCTTTATGGTTTAGCTTAATAGTGGGTAATGGAGCACTAGTTGCCGCCTATTGCACAGAATATTACGCCCGATTTAATTGCCCAAAATTGATTGAAAATTGGTGGAATCATTTACTTCCTCATATGTGGTATTGTTATCATAATAATAATATTTGAAAGCTAACTATGGAGTAATGTCCGAAACACAATACGAAAAATAAATAATTTTAAGCAATTGTTTATTAAATTAAATTTAATTAATGAAGTTTGTAATAAAATTGTTAAATACTTTCTAAATTAAGAGAAATTAGTTTTTGTGAGTACAAGTTGAGTTTAAAGAACGATGTCAAGACATCTTTGTTAAGAATTACATCAAGAAGAAGAAGCATTTAAAACTTTAAGCAGAAATGAATGAATGTTAGCTTGATAACTTATTGTAATTTGGCTAAAAAAAAAGAGGTCTCCAATAGGAATAATAACCGATCAATCCCCGATCTATTACATCTTGAACGCATTATTGCGGTTTCAATTCCTAGGGTACAGTAAGTACAACTAACACAGGAAAAAAATGAACAAGAAAAAGTGATATTAGATTTAGGCTCTGACTCGTTTACCAATTACCATCAGCAGAAATTCCATGCCCACGGTCAGACCTATCAATGTGCAGGTCTATTATCGTTAAAACCTAAAACCCACAGCTTCTTCTTGGGGATGGATGAACCTTTGACTCTGTTCAAGTGATTTTCGGAATTGAAGCAAAGATTTTGTTTGGGAAAAATGTAAGATTCACCTTAATTTTGAAGACACGAGTTCAGGGAAAAAGAAAATTTATTAAGTTTTCTTGTAATCTTTATCGGTTTTACGGGCGGACATTGACTATTTTCGACCTCATGAAGAAGAAGAAACAAATTTGATCTTCTAGAATATGGGGCGTTCGACACATATATATTTCTAATAACTATTTGGCAAATGAGCTATGTGTCTCATAGATGTCAAGAACAGGTGCGAGTTTAACTCTACCACGGTATCTTTCCAAAATTGTATTAGTTATAAGGTCTTCGCCTCTACGATAGGAAAGAAAAAAAGCAGAAACATTATATTCCGTCATGACCGAAACTTTTATACCCATCACTCTTATCCTAAAAAAGGCAAAAAAAAGAACAAAATTTTCATGCTCTTTAATATGAGGTGGACGCGGCTGATTTTTTCTACTTTCAAAATAAAAGTTTTTGTCGCATAGGCATGTGGGCGTCGCAGGCGTCTCCTTCAAGAAAGTTAAGTCACTTTTAAATTTTTTTGCAAATTTGTAGGCGATAATACTACACATTTATGCGGACAGACAGATGGACAGAGCAACAGACGAGCATGTTTAAATGCATTCCAAATTTGAAACTGGCGAAAAGTTTATATACTTTCCGGGGATTGTAAAGACTGTGTTTCTGCGCCTTATCGAGATATTGAATAAAAATTAAATTTTTGTAAAATATATTATACTGGGTAGGCGCGGTCAATTTTCCTCATTTTTGTATAGGTGCTACACCAATCAATAGCTTGAGTTTTGCGACCAGGCAAGACTGACAGACATACGCACGGACATGCTTAAATTGATTTAGAGTTTAATGCTAATCAAGAATACATACATATATATACTTTGCGAGACCTCTTAAGCATCCTTCTGGGCGTTGCAAACGTTTTGGCAAAATAAATATACGCCTTCCTCCTTCATTAATGGCTATAAAAATAATGATAATTTGAAAAAGGAAAACGATTCTTCTGTGAATCAATTCTATTCTATTCTATTCTATTCTAATTCTTGCCATAAGAGATAATCCTGTACAGTATATGTCAGAAAGCCGTTAACAGCTTTAAATTCATTTGTAAGCTAATTAAACAACATTATATTATTTTTTGTAACATTTTTAATGTAACATGTTGAATGAACTTTTAAAATTCATCAACAATTCAGAACGTTCACGTTTCGTAGAACGTTTCCTTTAAACACTAGACAAATAAAATGCAATTAAAGTAGAATGAGATTTAAATAAATGCATGAAATTTTTACTAAAACTAAATACATATAAATTGTGTCTGCTAGATATGCAAGCGAATGCGTGTGTGGGGGTTGCGTGTGCTTTAGTTGGTTTTTAATTTGTGCTTTGTTATTTAAAAAAATCTTTTAAACTTGGAACAAATAAATACTGAAATACCAATAGCAATAGTAGTGTATTTGAAGTACCACTTAATTCGGGAACGTTTACGTTCAGCTAAATACTCGTTATAGTCGATGTAAAGGGGATTTTTGTCAGGACTGAATGAAGCCAACTGTAAAGAGAATCGTAAGCATTTTTTTTTTATTATACAAGAGATGATAGTGAAAAGAAACTCACGTATGTAATTGTATTCCTTAGCGCCTTGATGGTCAATTGATAATCCTCCAAACGTCTTAACATAATTTGTATATGCTCTTTTTCCACAGGTCCCAGAAGATTTTCTTCCAAATGACGTCTTACGAAGCGTAACGAAGAATTAATTATAATTAAACGTTTTAAATGGTAGGCAGTGATCAATAAAACCTCGTAGAAGCTAAATAAATAAATAAATAAATATGTGTCCTTGAGTAACCTATTCACATATAAATCAGGAAATAATTGTTTTTTTTTTATTAGAAAACTACAGACTACTTGGCTAAAGTAAGCCACTAGAGTTATTTAACATGATGACGCTCCAGTGAGTGTTTCCAAAAAAGCACTTTTTCTTTTATTGTTTTATATTAGGTATTTGCAAAAATTTTGATCACTTTTCCACTTAAAAAAAAAGGCTTTTGTTTTGGAAAAGTGGAACAATATATAGTAATCAAAATAGTTTCCCTCATTTCCTACAATAATTTACAATAGTTTTGACAAAACGGCAATAACACGTCAAACGAACTTATATAGTTTCGGCAGCGATCTATCCACTGATGCGCTTTCGGACCTGCGTGTCATCCGGTCTGATCAACTGCAGTAATCAGAACACGTCATGTCTGGTGAGTATGCTAGGTACGGAAGAACTTCACATTCAAACTACCATAGTATATGCTGGAGAACTCTTGCAACAAATGGCCAAAAAAATGGTCTTTCCAGTTAATATGTGGCGCCACTTTTAAACCATTAAAACCAAAACCGACAATTGCCATATGATGGAGCACCATCACCATAAGTTTCTAAAAGCGTTTTGTCACTTTGACAACAAATTACTTCAAATAACAAACGCAATAATTTTAAAAAGATCACAAATTCAATAGTGTTTACAAGAGTAAGAAATGGTTCATAAGGTGAATGCAACAACTGTACTGTGGGCGTACGAACGATAGTAACGCTCAATAAACAAAATCAAATTGAAATTAATTAAAATTGTTGAAGGGAGACTAAATATAAATTAAATATTTGAAAACACATACTTATCCTTCGAAAACTTGTTAAGACGACTTAACGACTTTTTACGCCAATTATGCAGATGAAAACTATACATAAAGAAAAGATTTAATAAAATTTCATATTAAATCATTTTACATTTAATTCTTTTATACTTACTCTAATAACCCTTTTAATATTTTCATGCGAGACAAAGGAAATTGAATCCCAAGTTTTTCCAAACCCTTATCATCAAGACATAAAAATTTACTTAATGGCACACGTTCTTTGGCAAAATACTCTAAATATCTTTCCATATTAATTGACAACAATATTTTGTAGACTTCTTGAAAATATTCCGGACATTCGGATCTCAGAAATACGCGCGGTATGTAATCATGGTAAGTGCTGTAGGTTAGAAATTGTGTTGGCACTATATAGCCATCCTCTTTTTCTATCGGGAAAAACTCTAATAAATCGTAAAAGCCGTGAAATTGAGCCACTTGCTTCGGTGTGTAACCTTTGCCGTTGGGCTTGTTGTAATTAACGCCGGCATCGATCAAAATTTTAACAATTTCTCCATGATTATTTTCGACGGCATAAAAGATTGGCGTACATCCTCGATTATCCGTAGTGTCAAAGCTCACATCTTTAATCATGATGCGCACTATATTAGTGTGGCCGTTTTTACATGCCAACATGAAAGGTGTCGTTCCACATTTATCAGAAACATTAATGACAGCTCCGTGTTGCAAAAGTAAATTACAGATTTTATCCACTACGAAGGACGATTTACTCTTGCAATCACACGCTTGCATCAGTGGTGTGATGGAATCAACTTGTTTATTAACATTGGCTTTCTTTTCTAACACCAAATATTCTACGATTTCGTAAAAGCCTTCCCTGCAGGCGTGCATTAAAAGCGTGTAGCCTCCTAAAGAGTAGAATTAAGTTTACTAAGGAAAACTTCATTCGACTTTGTTTAAAATTTTTTTCTTACCCTTTAGCGGACTGTTTACATCGAAGTTTAGTTTACTGATATTTTCTTTAACACTCATAAGATCATCTCCATAAACGGCATTTCGCAGTTCTTCTTCTTCGTCCTTAATCGTAAAATATTGCTTTGGTCTTGAGGCTAACTGCAAAAAAATTGGCATATGAATCTAACAACAACAGGGCACAGATGCATGCGCTATTTACTTCATCACCAAAATAGAAGCCATCATAATCATCATCGGAATCAGTGTCTGGTGGCCGATACACAATATTATTAATATTTCTCGTAGCCATTTTCTTCATTATAAAATTCTGGCTAATTTGCTTGTTATGTGCGTTAAGAGCGCTAAGAGTCGGTAAATGAAGAATATATTGGAAATTTGTTTTTGTTTTGCAATATTGGGCAACGCTAAGAATTCAAATGAGAATCAGAGTCGGCAAATGGATACTAGAGATGGTAAAAAACAGGAGTACAGCGAATTTTAGTTATTAATTTAATATGTATAGAATACAGTTATTAACTTTGCCTTTTTGAGATAAGAAGACGTAAAAAATAAATAAATACCAAAGATATATATATATATATATATATATACAAAAGAAATTGTTATTCTTTTTAATGGTTTTAATGGTTTCCTGATTTTTCCTTGATTTGGTCGCTTTGTTTTCATGTGTTTAGTGTTTTGGAAAATATGCGAACTGAACTTATTTAATTTTACAAGTTAGCCTAAAAATAGACCGCCATTTTTTTTTTTATTATCAAATTAAACAAAACAGTAACTAAATTTTCTGCTACTTTACAGGGCGAACTTTATACTTAGGCATATATCAACAGAGTCGAGATCCAAGTCAGAACCAATACTTTTATAGATGGCGCGTAAGGCCTATAGATAGCAAAATCGTGGACAACAGTCCTCCCACCAAATTTAGCCAGCCAACCACCATACCCATTCATTGCTAGTAAAACGGAAGCTTATTAATGGTAGCTTTTAATTTTAAAAGATGTTACCTTAATATTGTTACCGATTCAAATAAAGGAAAATCATTGTCAACTATGGCAGGCACTTTTTGAAAGCGATTAACTTTTTTGTATGCTTCAGTATACTGCACTTTTTGAAAACGATTAACTCTTTTGTATGCTTCAGTATACTGCTCCACTGAAAAATGGGAAATGAATTAATAAGGATGGCATAGGCGTTAATAAGTTTATTTACTTTTTCTCAGAGCCGCGGGGCAATCTTCAAATTGGGTTTTACCCATTTCCCCAATTTGTTCCAAATTCTCTGATAATCAATAAAAAACATCTGTTGAAATTCTATATAAACAAACAAACAAATAAAAAACATCTGTTGAAATTCTATACAAACAAACAAACAATTTGGCAATTTAACAGCAAAAACAATAGTAGTAGTAATACTTTATGTCAATTGTAAAGCCGTCGGCAAAAGTCCCCCAATTTTATATTTTTTATGCCAGTTGCATAGAAGTAAAGCGTGCCAGTTGCAGAATTATAGAAATCATGTGGTCAGGATTACATAATTGACGTTATATAGTAATAGTAATAATGATAATAATAATAATAGGATCCCTTTAATAAAATAAAAAAAAAATAATTGAATTATTCCGTAGTTTATAGTTATAGTAAAAATTTTATTGGAAAAAGTTTTTTTTTTAAACGAAATTATTAAAATAAATGCAGTGGGTTGAAGGTCCAGTTTAAGAGAATAAAAACATCCCAAATAGATACATTGCTTTTTCAATTTCGACCGTTATTATTAAATTACTCATTTTCTTTGTCCTATCATTATTTTCGCCAAGCCCTACAAGTGATCCTAACAAATTCAAAGCAAATACTATAGTCTAAATTTACAGCGATAGTTTTTGCAAATGAGGCAACACTGTCAACTTTATTATGGAAAACGGAATAGGCAACGCTTTTCCAAAATGCTCAGATGTTTCTCAAATATCAGATACAATCGACTGACTTCAAAAAAATAATACTTAAGAAAAATACCTAATTTAAATATAAAATCCAAGTGCTTAGAAAATGTTGCGTCATTTAATAGTAAGTAGTAGTTGATTGCTCTTTTTTTAATGAAAGTGTATTGCATAACTTGGAACCCATTTTCAAGTTACTAAAATAAATAGCGGGTCCGTTACAATGCCGAGGATCGGTTTTTGTCACGCTGGGAAGGATCATCCGTTTTAGTTCCGTTTTACAAATTTGCCCTTTTTATGATTTTGTTGGTGCGTTCGCGTGTTTAGGAATTGCTTGCGCCTATTTGTTTGGTTTTGGCTTAAAATGATTTTTCTTTGTAAAAACTTAGGTCAAAATTATTGATTTTGTGAAAAAATTTTTTGAAACACTTAAAAACATTTCAATTTAGAAAAATTGTGTATGAAATTGGAAAATTTCCATAAAAGAATTTTTAACTACGCTATTTGTCTTTTTCTCCATCTATCAATATAAACAAAAATAAAAATCACTTTTTTTGTCTCTTCCCTTTATAGGATACTGCTGTAAGAGGCGGCTTACCGCCCGTGGCCGTACGCTTACAAAGTTCAAAAACTCCAGGCCAAGGTGATGGTAACAAACTTAGTCATCCAGTGAAATTGGCTAATAATGCAGACATACCGATCGTCGACTACAATGATCCTGATTATTTGCCTTTGCCTGAGTATCCGAAAAAATCGAACGAGCCATTGGATATTAAAAAGCAGCGGTAAATTATTGCTTTTCAGTAGAGTTTTCAATTTTAAATGAACTTTATGAAATTTGTAGTCTTCTTTATCAATCTCGCAAACGTGGTATGTTGGAAAATGATTTGCTATTGAGCACTTTTGCCGCCAAATATCTGAAAGATCTAAGTAAGGAGTTAACTGAGCAATATGATAGTTTGATAAATGGTGTCACAAACGACTGGGATATTTATTATTGGGCTACGAATGTCAAACCGACACCACCCGAACATGACAACGAAATAATGCGTATGCTTAAGGAACATGTTCTTAATGCAGGGCGTGAGTCACGTATAAGACAACCGAATTTGAATTAAAAATGAATTACTCGTTAGTTTATTTTAACCTATAGAATGGTTTAATATGTCGTTAATTCTCTCATTAAATTTATTGTATTATTTAATTATACTATTCGCTTATGCTTAGTAGTTTGTTAGTTGCGTAAATAAGATTTCTATTGTTAATAAAAATTCGATGTCGCTTCTTTAACATCTTTCGAACACTTTATACAGTTTTGGTAAACTAGTCAATTCATATAATTCTTTTCTAATTTTTTCTGATGGTAATAAGTACTTTTTAAGAGCTGGATATAAGACATGCTCGGTTTGCCATCTATGACGTTTCGGATCATCTTTTATATCGGCTTCTGATACTGTAGCGTAGTAATGGGCTGTCTCGCGACAAAAAGTTTCAAAGCATTTCTCTTCCTCTTCCCATTCCACATCGGTAGCCAAACGCAGCATATATAAAGGCAAGTAGGCCTTGCTAGGGCAGTACTGTTCCAACAACAAAGGTAACGTCAACAGATCACCTTCCGGAGAAATATTTAAAGAAAAGTATTCACGCATTATAGGAGAATGGATTAATAAAATTTCAACAGCGCGTTGCGCTAATTCTTCCTTATCACCATCCTCTTCGCACCATCCGCTTTCTGTTGAATTTAGGGCCAATAAAATTAAAGATTTAATTGATAATCTCTCTGGAGCTATTTCAAGAGCACAAAAATTTTCAAAGTTATATACCAAACGTTGATAAAAAAGCTCCTTGCTGAACAGATAACAATAACAAATTGATATTAATTTAATTTTAATAAAATTGTCGAACTTACCTCAACATTAGCGTATTAGATAGGTAAAGTTTAGTTTCATATTGAAATAAAGCAAAGCTTTTATCTATTGAGCCCACAAAAACCATTTCTTTTAAAATCTTTCTTAGCTGCACCGAACATTTATTCTCTATTTGTTGCATCATTTTTAAAACACTTGTTAATTTGACTTCCTTGGTTTTTTGTTTGGCAGTAACTCGAAAACTTTGTTCGGTTATAGGCAATACACCATTGGAATAAGTCGATAATGAATCATCAGTTTTCTTATTGCTTTCGCTAAATAAAAATTTGTCCAACTTTTGTTCCTTACTATCGGTGCGTATCATATCTTTCGCCGAAACTTTATCTTGTGCTGCTGCAGACTTGTTAATGCTTGTTTCATTTCCCGTTTCCTTCTCTTCTCTGCCAATACCGGGCAATTTTAATTGCTTATAGAAAGTTCGTGTAGCATTACTGCCCAATAATTGCGTTTCTATTTGGCTTTTGATTTTTTCCACGATTTCATCCTCATACAGAAAATGAACTTCATGTTTGGTAGGATGTACGTTGACATCTAAATTACTTGGTGCCATTTCTAAGCTTAGATATATAAATGGATGCATACCTTTCGGCAAATAAGTGCTGTAAACATTGTCGATGGCAGTTTTCAAAGCTAAAAGAGTCCTGCCTTAAACGATTTAATTCTCAATTTTTAATTAACAATTAACTGCTCACCTGTGGACTCTACCAAACGATTATTAATGAACAACAGCATAATACCTTTCTTGTTATTGTAATTCACTTTGGTTATTAGACCACTTAAAGAGAATTGAAGCATTTGATCTTTGTAATCGACAGACATCAGCTCCTTGCTGATGTCGTTGCCATAGATAATTTGTATGTTAGCCTCTTGAGTGCTGTTTACATTAGTTTTCAGAGATAGCTGTTCACCATGTTTTTTCAACATGAAACCCACTCGGCTATTGTGTATGGCGTACTTAGCTGTTACGTCATAAATTTTTTGAAATTCTTCATTAGGCGTCTTAAAGGCCTGTCTGCGTTGTGGCATATTATAAAATAAATCCTCGATAACAATAATCGTACCCTGATTGCCAGCACAAGCCTTCGGCTTTGCCTGTAACTGGCCATCTTCGTAAGACGCTCTAAGGGATGGTAAGAAAGGAATTTTCACTTTTGTTTCTTTGAACAGGTCTAATTTCATACCTACTTGTAGGCGCATCTCTCTTGACGAGTTTTTGTTTGTATAGTTAAGTGCGCTACGTGACTTATACTGGCTAATGCCTCTCCACGAAAACCGAATGTAGATATTTTTGTTAAATCTTCAAAAGTGGTCAATTTGGAAGTAGTGAACCGTTCACAAACTATTTCAAGATCTTCTTTACGTATTCCAGTGCCGTTATCTTCAATTTGCAACAATTTCAGACCGCCGACTTTTACGGTCACTTGTATCAGCGAGGCCTTTGCGTCTAAGCTATTTTCTATTAATTCCTTTAAAGCGTTTGCAGGCCTTTGTATAACTTCACCCGCAGCAATACGATTTACGACTGCCTGATCGAGCTTTTTAATTATACCTGGATCCATAATTTCTCTATTCGTCTTCTTTTCTGCCGATAGAAAATATTTATTAAACTAAAGGTTTTCTTTTCTTTTTTTTTTGGATTGTAGAGGACTAAACCAATAAATTTGCGACATATATGTCTTAAACTAAAGGTGAAGGTAAATATTTTTAATAAACTAAAGGTAAACAAGTTAACCCGCCAGGCATGCAATGACATTTGGTAATGTGTCAAAAATATTTGTTTACAATAGAGTTTCCTCTACGCGCTTTTTACATCTGTCACTATACTAAGAAGGCTTGATTTTCATTCAAACAGATGTCAATATACATGTAGTTCAATTTTTCTGTTGCTTTTTTCATAAAAATGTAAATTATCACTTTACAATGAAATATGAACGCTTGCAAAACGAACTAACGACGCTAATTGCAATTCTTTATCAACCAACTGGGTACATCCTTTTCTACAACACTTTTTATTGAAAAATCCAGTTCAAAGATTTTAGTTCGCATTTCACTTACCCGCTTTATCCAATGTTATATTTTTATTACAGTTTGGAAATGTTGACATTTCTACTAATAAATTTGCAGCTAATCAGCTGCTCTATAGAAAATGAGCGAACTTCGAATTTTGTTACTATAGAGCGTAAGTAAATGAGCGAGCTAAAATTACCACTTGTTGCTATGTATTTGAACTTCGAATTTTGTTACTATAGAGCGTAAGTAAATGAGCGAGCTACGAATTTTGTTACTTTAGAGACCAAGTGAAAGAGTTTTCTAGCTAACATAGTATGTTTTGTATTTAATCTTTAGTTTATTTCTGACCGCTCCGAATGTTAGAAGGTAAATATTAAAAATATTTACTCTCTTTTCTCATATATTGACATGGAAAATCATTAGTTAGCTGAGGAAAGGAACGTGCACCGGTTCCATCAGCCTCCAATCCACTAATAGTGGCCCAGAGTCCTCTACAAAATTGAGTTTTTGTTAATACAGATAGACAGAGGGAAAACTGCAGACAACGATGGTTACATAAAAATGGCTTCCAACGTGGGGCCCATCTCATCTCAGCATATAGAATTCTATTTTTGCTGTAGAACCTATTTTTGCTATAACTGCTAGCTGCACGATTAAAAACTTTATCAGCGTACACCCGAACACTAAGAACATTGCATTGTCTCAGCATAGCCGCAAAAGTTCGTTCCGAACCTGATCGCGTTTCTAATAAATACGAAATTGAGTGATAGATCAATTAGCAGCAATGACATTTTCGGTAATAGACAAAAATTTTAGAAAGGTGGAAAATAGATTTATTTAATAGATCGAAATACGTTTTTAAACTCTGCCTACCTGAACCTTTGGCTGTATTATCCCATTTCCGCGATAATATTGCGCTTCTTATTAAAATTTATATCGAACCGACTGCTAATCAAGGGGTCTTCGAATTTTAATAGCAAGATCGAACCAATCAGAACACATAATATTTTTTGTGAACTACAAGTTTTCGAGAAATGTTTCTCCCTTAGGACATCCATTAAGAACTAAAAGCCAAATAAACGAAGATGCGGAAGTGTCTCGTCTTGTAAACTAATACTGGGGGATATGAGAAATGTACCGTCTCATGTAAGTTCTACTCTGATTATCTTTTTATTTTCTGGTTTTGATTGTGAGGATTGTGTCCTGGTTTGTTTAGTGTAACGTCTTCAATATATATAAAAATAAGTAGAAAAGTTATATTCGGCTGGAGCCGAATCTTGCATACCTACCGCCATTAAGGCTGCTATTTATTGCCATAAAAAAAGTGAATGGTATAAAATTTAGTCTGTTACGGCTTGACGTCAATTTGGAATTAACACAATTAGTTTGTCGCATTCTGCTCTCCAAGTCCCTTTTATTTGCCGTCCGTACGGAAGGCATTTTTCAGAAAAAGTTTATTCGCCATGTCGTGACGTCCACCATAATTAATTTCGAATTAACATACTCAGCTTTTCCCATTCCTTTTTCCAAGTTCTTTTATTTGATAACCATATCGCTACTATCATTAGGAAAAAATTAGCCAGACCCACCTGCGTGCAAAGACTTCCAATGTTTCTGCCAAATTTGAAGTCGATATTTTCATTTTAGCGAGAGGATAGTGTCAACAACACACACGATACGGAAGGATAGGCATGGCTTAATCAATTCAGGCTTTAACGCTGCTCAAGAATATATGTACTTTATGGGGTCTCTAAAGCTTCCTTTTAGATATTGCAAACATTATGGCAATGGTGGCCATAAAAAGAAGATCAGAGATATTCTCGGCTGATTAATCGTCGGGTGCTTACATATTACCAAACCAACGCAATGTGCCTCTTCGAGAATTAATGGGAGCTCCGACGTTTCTTGAAAGGTCTTACGAATGTGTCTAGTCCTAGTCTCCGTTAAACCCTGGGTTGGAAAAATTTAAAATCTAAAGCGGACTTTGAGTTGTAGACGAGGTTACGTAATGTATGTTTTGGAATATTATCGACAAGTGCAGAGTAATTGTCCCGATTATCCAGTCTCCAACTTGAAGTCGAGACTGTAAACGCTCACCGCTTGTACATAATAATATGTTCTGAACATATATTTTATAATCGATGGTAGACTGAAAGACCCATTACCGGTATGTCAACAAAGTGTCATTGTTGGGTCGTTCAGCAAATCTCAAGACAATATAGACCGCAGGTAGGCTACATACCGAACAACCTAAAATCGACTTCTTGAGGCAATTTGATCAATTCCTTCGGATATTATCAAAGAAATCGAGCTTTAGAGACCCCACATAGTACACATATTCTTGATCAGCATCAAATTCTAAATGAATTCAGGCATGTCCGTCTGTGTGCCTTTTCCTCTGCGTAATGTGTGCAAATATTTTCCTGGCCGCAAAAATAAAGCTACTTGGCTTTAAATTTGGCCGAAACATTAGAAGTTCTTGCACACAGATTGGTATTGAAAACAGGCCAAATCATTTGAAAGACACGCCCACAGCATCACGTAAACTGAGAACAACTCTGTTTTTTAAAAGAAATGAAGAATTGTTTTTTTTCCCTATTCATAAATTAAGGCATATAAAGGCACAAAACTTTGAACGCATATCCTATGCGCGAGATTGTAGTACCTGTACAAAAATGGAACAATTGGCCATATATTGGCCATTATAGTGTATCAATGTTTTTTTTTTTTTTTCAATACCTTCGTAAGGCGTAGAAACATAAGTTTCAAGAATACTGTAAAGTCTGTCTGCGCAAGTATGTAGTATTTAAGCTAAACATTAGCTTTAGCGAAAACGAAGATATCGCAAAAGAATTTTTAAGTGACTTAAACTTTTCCAAGTACCCGTCTACAACGCCTACATGCTTATGCGGCAAGAACTTTTATTTTGAAAATAGAAAAAATCAGCCACGCCCACTCCATATTACAGAACATGAAAATTTAGTTCTTTTACTTTTTTGGCTTTTTAAGAATAATGATGATGAGTGTGAAAAATTCGGTTACGATCGGATATAATTTTCTTACTTGTTCCTATTTATGAAGACGTTTGCAGACTTGTCTACTTACTACGGCTTTTTCAATGTTATAGTTTGCCTAGCCTGTCATTTAACAATTTCTTGCCATAAATATGTTAGTTTGTGTTCAGTTAGTTAGTCACTCATTCCAGGATTTATGTATATATATATATATATGTTTGTACGCAATTGCCTTGCACTTGCACCGAACGAATTCTGTCAGTTATATGGCATTTAACTTTTGTCCTCCTTGAAAAAAGGTATATAGACTTTTCTTCGCCTCACTGCGTATAAGTAGAACATACTTACAAACAAAGTTAGTCATCTCAGTGGTTGGTATGAAACCATGCAAGTATGGTAAAATGAGATGAACTGCGTATGCGTTTTCTTTCTATATCTTTGGAGTGGAGCAATTTAGTTTGAATCTTATGGCTAAAATTGAGGAATTAAAAACGATTTGCTTTAAAAGAAGCTAAAATTATTCTATGGTTAATTGTTAGTATGAAATGGGAACTTAAGAAGGAAGATAAATATGTCGGTTGCTCACTTTGAACGAAACCTTATGCACACAGATAATGGTGAACTCTTAAAAAGACATAAGATTTGCAGCAAAGAACGTGAAAAGAAATCTTAAGAACTACTCTCGATGAAAGGAAAGCGAAATTGCAAGATATATCGGATATTGTAAAAATATGAACAGATAACATGCGAGCAGCTTTACATGAACATTTCGCCATGAGAACGATGTTTTTCTAAATACTAAACAATTATAAAGTGTTGCCGGTTCGTTAAAATCATACGGGATTGTGCCCACGCACTGTTCTTTTCAACAGAATCGAACGGAAAACGGGTGAAGCAACACAAAATGCAATTCACGCAGAATCAAGGCATCTTCACGTGCTCCTCCGGGAAGTTCAATCCTTTTCAATTTGCTTACGATCGATCTGTTGACTCAACTGGAAATTTGAACTCCTCCAGTTGGACGGCTGGTGTACGAGCAACGCCATGTCAGTTGATCTAAATAAATGGAGCGAGTTTTCATTTGTTTAATAATAACTGGGTAACGAGCTGGGTAACGTGAAATTCTTTCGTGTTCCTGGTATGTTACTAGATATCAAATGTCGGAGATAATAAGACCCAGCCGCTATTGGGTTTTATCGAACGTTGGGCTAAGGAATTTAACGATTCGTATGTTAATAAATGTCTACTTGCCTCGCTCGTCACCCCTATTTTAGAATAGTCGCTTATTGTATGATTATCAATTTATAAGACACACATCCACTTGCTGTTCGTGGATTGGGTTGGAATACTTACGTTACCTGCTTATGTTCTATAAGTTTGGATGCCTGTGCTTCACTTTCGTAAAATGTTTACCACAAATACTATAAAGTTGCGCCAACGGATATGTGGACAGACAGATAGGCGCACATGGTGCTTGGTGTTGTCATCAATACAACGTCAAAGCATTATCTACCTTATACGATTGTGTCGATTGTGTTGCTCTTTAAAACTCGAATTAAACACTCGCACATTTTACTTAGCTGTATGAATGTGTGTTAGAGACTCTTAGGATACATAAACGCAGGTGCAGAGCAAAGCATATGACAAAAGCCTTTTTAGTCGA